TTTAAGCCGTCGAGTCGTTATGTAAAGACCAACAAATCGGTTTTTATTACTACCGTATTGAGAGTCAAGCGCTGCTATTAGTATCGGCTGATAAAGACCCACTAATGGCGACATGATATGAAATCCTATCACACCATATATTACTAAACAATCTTTTAAAGCTTATCTACTTTACTCAAAGCTTTATATTTTGTCGCCAAGTTGTTGTAAATACGTTGAGTAATCTCAAGTTTAAGTTATTTCGAGAAGTGTTTGATTTTGATGTGCCATTTTGCGCACGATTTTCATGTCGATTAACGTGTTTTATACAGACAAATTAAAGTATATATTATATAAGTATCCTCAGATGTATATCTATAGCGTTCAGCACTTGAATAAATAGATGAAATAAGAAATCGAGTTTAGTATTTCAGGGATTTTTACCGTATAATGTGTCGGTACAAATCCCACTGCCTGCACGCCATCTATCATTCGCGATAATTATCTACCTCGATCGGTGGAAATCCTGTCATCTTTATTACGACATTGCCTAAAGATAAAAACCCCAACTGCATCGTTTCTTTTCTCAGCTAATCACCCTATGTAATTTGGTTATCTTGATGACAGAAAAGATAAAACAATCGCAGAGAAGTTATAGAAATATGGATTAATTCTCTTTTTAGTTCAACAAGGTTCAACTTGAAAATTAGCTTAACACATGCAGGTTTAATGACGATGTTACGAGTTGTCGATAACATGCTCATAAAGAGAGAGAGATGACTCTCTGTTTAAAGGATCGTTTTAAAACAAGTTTAGCTTTTAGGAGTTTGTTACTCTACTGGGATCAGAAAGGAAATCGTYGGGGCATATACTTCGTCAGTCAAGGATGGTCAATTCAATGGGAAATTCCCGCTCTCTGTTACGAAATTACTCGTTCCCTACCAATACAAACAGCATATGCTTCAATCTTTTATATCAATCCCAGGAAATGCGGTTGTTTTGCTATTTTGTTGTCGTAATTTAGCATTTAAGTCAATTTGCGTCAATTTTTAATCCAATAAGTCTTGATTCAGTTTTAAAGTACGTTTTGCTTGCYTGGCGCTTATTTTTTCTCGAAATCAGTCATGTTTTGTGAGTTCAAAGAGAGTCCAATTTATGGCAAGTCTAGTTCTTTCTGGACGTCTGTTTTGAAACTCTTCTCCGATTACAAAAAGTAAAAGTGTGGAGCTCTATTTACTACTAAATAGTTCTAACTAAACCGTAGAAAATGATATAAATTAGTAAAAAAGTGTTCATTGCTATTGTGGTGCACCATTTCTTAGTGTTTGTACTCTGTATTAAGTGCAGTTTCTTCTTTCACTTTATAGCTCTCACTAAATCAAAATTTTAGCTAAAAATAATATAATTTTTGCTATTAGATGCTCTAGTTAAGGAGATATGCTCCTATCCTAAACACGCTGTCATATTTCTTTTGGTCTGTAGAAATGGACTCGGCCAATAATGCGAATTTCAGTATTGACGCTCTTCTCGGACCACAACAACAACAACAGCACCAACAACAACAGCAACATCAACAGCAAGGACTACCAAGAAAAGTCCCATCGTTGGGACACTCTTCCTTATCACCGCCTGGACACCACCTTAAAAAAGTGCCCACCGGTAAGACATTGGCTGATTTTCAGCGCAATTTATTATTTTTTTTTTWATTTTTTTAAATTCCTTGCAAGAATATTCGCCCCGTACAGTTGCAAACATTCACCACGATGTCCATAACACTTAATTCGCTATTTATCTGAAGATCTATACTAAGTCCTTCCCGCCGTGAATTTTGAAAAACATTTTCAGTTATCAAAATAACTTTAAGTTGTTGTCTGCATGTGTTTATAACTGAACACGGTTAATGGGATATTGACTGCAAGCAGGCGCTTCAGTATGAAAAACGAGAAAAAAAGGACAAAAGTCAAGGTCGCGCAAAACTGACAAACAAAGAAAAACATACCTTTGTTTAGCATTCTAGCTTCCTACTTCACAATAAATCTTATTATAAAATAATTGATTATTTTTAGCGCTTCTAATTGCAATACAGGTTTAATTTTTATAAAGCGTGACCACTTGGATTTCTCCAAGCAATCTATAACTAAATGTTTTGTCAAAACCGACGCTCACCATAGGTTTTAGTTTGCTTCTAGGCATAGCGACAGGCAATGGCAGGGTTATTAGTGCGATGGCCACAAAGACCCGCCTTTGCAAGTGTTTTTATTGTTACCGCTAAGCAAACGAGTTCTCTGTTTGACGCTTTTTTGATAACTGCTATCACATAAATGCATTTAGAACAATCTACCATTTTATCCACTAGTTTTTTTTTTAGCTTCTCAGACTTGATTCTAAGCGAGATCTTTAAAAAAACATAGCTCGACATCTTTGAAATTCTACCTTATTATACAGAGACTTCGCTCTTATTCCACAAAGCAGTATTGGCGTCCTTGCTTCTTCCCATGGGGTTGAGTGCAAGTTCTCGAATAATACGCCATCCTATAGTGCAGAAATAATGCATTGAGGACCATAATTTCACAATCACGCCTCAATTCCTTAAAAATTGGTTGATCATTCTCAAAGAAGGGACAAGTTGTGATTAGACATATCTTTATATCATATTGTTCCATGATATTCTTATTGCACTTCGTATTATGCACCAGTATCATTTTCAGCATCATCAYTGCYCATTAAGAAATCTGYWARCATAACGGAAAATTGGAAAATTTGCAARAGYCCCTCCACCGTTGGGTGCTGTTCATTCGACATCCCTCATACTGCGTCCCTTTTGTTAGCGTCCGACACGATTTTGCTATTTATTTAATGGAAATCTTGATGATATAAACAGAAAAAACAATGCGATTTCTAAGAAGCCGTGTTTTTGTGATAACTCTTTTTGTCGTTTTAAAATGTTAAGTTTTCAAAGCGGAGGTCCCCTGGAAAGCACTAACTCTCGACACGATGTAGTGGTATTGGTCACCAACATGATAAGACAGATCGAGTGGGTGGGACAATAATATCTTATCATATATCCCTTGTTTTCTTCGAAAAAAGATTCCTCATTCGAGCTAGAGAGAAAAAGAAATAGATATATTTTTTTTAGATTGTCAGACCTTCAGAAAAACACATTTTTATCTCTGTGATAGTGTACATTTCAATAATCGACTATACGCTCCAAAAAACAAGAAAACTTATAAATTAAATAGTGCACATTGCTGAATTTTGCGAAATTGTTTTCTATACTAACCAACCCTATAATGCGAGCTATTTAGCACTATTTAGTTAGCACTTTTTTCTAGCTTTTAGTGTTTGCACTGTAGAAATCTGGTTGTCGGGCTTAGTAAGCAAAGTGCGCATATGAAATCTCGTTGAACCGTCCAATTGTGGTGCTAAATTGGATATTAATCGCAAATTTCAAAATTCGATCCATGTGAAGTTGGTGCGCTAAAAATGGTTGGTAAATTTAATTCTGCAATATAACACTTATCCAAGTCGTTCACTAAAACCATCTCTAAAATTTTATTCTTTTTTCTCCTTTTTCCGTAGCTCCAGAAATGCGTTTCCACGAAGAATACAGAGACAAAGATCTAACCAACACCAAATCGGCACCCCAACCTGAAAAGCGTGAAAGAACGACTTCCAAGAAGCGACGAAAACGGACCGCATTCACAAGTTTTCAACTCAAATGCCTCGAAGACAAATTCAAATTTAGCAAGTATTTGACAATAGCMGAACGGGACATGATGGCAAGATCGCTACAACTCACCAACAGACAAATCAAGACMTGGTTTCAAAACAGAAGAACAAAATGGAAACGAGAAAACGTWGGAGAGGCTTTGCAGTTAAATTACGAAATTCAACGTACGGCAACTTTGCGTTGTACACCCCCCTGGCTTCAGGTGTGCCCTTACCCTCCCGTMTTTAGCACCATGGACCCTAGCTGCTCGTGGGCMCCTTCTCCGTATCTTCTYCAGGCTCCAGCAGCTCGATTTCCATGCTCACATCCATCATAATCACGTGATCCATCCGTTGTAGTCACGTGGTACATAATCCAAAGTAACTGGTTGTCGTTATAGCATTGCTACTAAATCACAGAAACTACAAATTTGCGAAAAGTCGAAAAGGAAAATCTTCAAGCGTGCTATGCGCGAGTTGCCAGTTTCGACAATAAAAAACTTGACACTTTTCATCTGTTGAGCATGTAAACTGCCAAGAAAAACTTGCTTGGATGACAAGAATTATGAACTTAATCGCGTGTAAATCTTGTAAATAAATAAAAAACTTGTAAATAAATGTATACAGAAAGAAATGTTTCAGTATAGTCTTCTCCGAGTACCTAAATTGCAATGGACATTTCTTTAGAGCAATTTCTCCATCGCTTATCACTGTGGGTAAGGCTGTGCCTTTAGTACACTACTAAATTCAACGAGATTATGTTCACGAAGCAGTTATGTAAAAAGATAAATTTAACACCGCAAAAAAGTATGTGAAATAACTTACTGACGTTAGGGACGTTAATCCTTCGTCGGAGTAAAAGTGAAACGTTTTACGAAGGATGATCGGTATTTGCGAAGATTACTCGAGTTTAGAAGGAACATGCGAGTTTTTTACGAAGGACAGTCGACACTAAAATAACAACAGATATGATAAATGTTGATAATTATGGCTATTCCTCATAGTCCTCTGCAATCTTTAACTGATCCCATACCAAAAACCTTTCCTCTAATAGTAACATACGTACATTCATACATTTTAGACTAGTACTATCGGCTATGGGTATATAACGAAGATTATCTCTTGCAAGCTCACTTAATTAACTGGCAGTCAATGAGAATGTGAATATAGTCTCCCAACTATTAGATTTTTTATCATTTTTGCCAGGACATAATATATAACAAGAAAACATAACCGGCCGAAATCGACTATGTTTGCATTGATATAAAGTAGATGCCCTTATTGTTGAATTCTATCGTTATATAATATCGGAAATAACGCTGGTCAGAACACCATGAGGTAATCTTACAGTAATGCAACTTTAAATTGCGAATATAGGAAGATGATGGTATAARAACAGTGTTTATTTGAAGCACTGTTGTTATTATCATTAAAATAGTCAGCATTCCTGTACCTATAAGGMATTGGACGACTGCGACTTGAACACAGGGCATAAAAACAGCGGCAATGAAACAGCTAAATTAGTTACTGAAGCCAACTTGAATTCCCTGTTAAAGTAGGCAATTTCTATGTCAAAATCGAGGTTTTTCAGGGTAAAAACTCAAGTTGCACGCATTTGCAACTGGGATGACGGTGTGTTTTGTGATCAGAATTAAATATGACTGCGAAGGGYATTTTCTTAATAGTATTACAGTCGAAACAATATTGAAATACTGAATGAAGATCTCTGYGTTCAAGGGTTAGGCAACRCCCATACACTAATGAAAAACAGAATAGCGGAGGAAAGTGCAAAGTGCAAACACTGAAAGCATRAAAATCTTAATCAAAAAGTGATTATAAATAGTAATTTAATAGTGCTCAATTGTACTGAATTACGCGAATTCACCTTTTTGTCTAGTGATCTCATTACATCCATGAAGTGAAGTCCAAAAAAAACATGAAATAGATATTACTACTACACCTTAGTACGCTCTAATTGCATTGTTTTCTTTTGTGTCTATTTGGCTATCAAAMTTTAATAGTTAAACTTTGTTTCATAGGTTTATTGACTGCACTCTCAAGCTGTCTCAAAGGTTTTTTGACTTCGCTGTATAGTGTTTGTACTCTAAATCGAGTACATGCTGCACCGAARCCAGGCTTAATAAAGAGCAATAAAGTACAGTTCCCTGAAGTGGATTTCACGGAATGTTTCTCTGCATGGTTCAAGTCGACCTCACACACTTTGTTCTTASCTTATAAACACCTTATGCTTATGACTATTTAAATAGAGAATTCGAGAATGTTTGATCACGTTGGTGATCCTAATGGATCGGGCAGATGCGCGCGATCATGGTGGCGTTCTTTGTGTAATAGYAAGAACAGCAGCCACCCCCCTCCCCTTCCCCTAGAGAGACTCCATAACCCTCACTAGGGAACTASGCTAAGCGGGCTATCAACACTGCTGGAAAGTTGTTTTGCAATTTCATCCAAAGTCTTTTTTAATAAATTGCTTTAACCACATTGAAAAGCGTGGGTTTTTTTTGCATTTCAATATTGTTATTATTTATGGGGTGATTATGTAAAGGTAGGACACCGCTGGGTTTTTTTCTAGTTATCATACATGGGCACTATATCACAAACACCTCATATATTACGAACACCTCTATGTTACGGACACCTCTATATTGTGAGCACCTCTAGATTATTGAGTTTTGAACATGCTTGACATTTAGCTGGAACTAGCGGCGATTTTCGATGGCCGCAACAATCGTAGGGCTTTTAAAAAAAATCTACAGGGCCACATTACATGTGCACCCTCAATAATTTGTAAACAGTTATATGTTTGTAAACACTTTAGCTTTATGTGTAATAAAGTGTATTAAAAATAACAACGAACAAACAAATAAACAAAAAAGAACAATCGCAGGGCTGTTTACACGAGGTGCGCGATAGCAAAGTGGCCATTGTCGCGTGACAATTGCGCTGCAAAAATCGCACGTATAAACGGGGCTTTACATATTACGGACACGTCTATATCACAAACACCTCTATATTACGACCACCACTATATTTCKGATACCTCTATAACACTGCGGCCGTTTGATGAGAAAAACCTTCGAGCATTTCATTAGTTTAATACCTAGATACAGATAAAAAGTTTCCAGGTTTGTTAGCTCATCATCAGCTACGTAATGCCCGTTCGGTGTTCACTTTAATTGCGACGAACCCAAGGATATGAATTCATAAATAGTATTATGTTTTTATGAACTTAGATTTTTAAGTAATTCGGAAAAAAAGTAAATTAAATGAGAATTGAAACAAAATAAAAAAAACGAGGAGTTGACAATGTCTTGGAATGAAAGACGAAACCAACTGACTCACGGTATCTTGACTTGGTGAGAAAAGGGATGACCTATAAGGTTCTGAACCGAGGAAAACAAGGATTACTAAATTCTAAGAATCAAGAATTAAGGAATTAAGAAATATGAAAGATTTGTTTTAATCTCTAATAAATAAATAATCAATATACTACTATTTTTACCCGAAGGGTATCGAGCCTCCTTAAATAATTGGATCACAGCAGCTTATGAAAGACGACTAAATTTTGTTAGAACAGAACGGGCTTTCGCTTAACCAGTGAACGTGCCAGTCCGCGTATCCACGTCRGTTACTTTGATGTGATAAGTTGTTGATTGCTGAACGTTTCGTATGGCTTTCGTTCTGGGTTGGTACGTGATACGAGCACTACCTGGCGAAGATATTTCGAAGCCTTGTCCACACTGATGCGTTTTCGTGGTACTCCAAGGAGAAATGCAAGTAAAATAATTTCTACACACATATCGGATAAATTTCGAAATTATTTCGTCAATAGTATAAAGTTTCGGTTGCGGCATTCCTTGGTATAATTATATTTTTATGGCTGTTTTAACGYAATAATTCAAAAACTAACGTGGGCGTTTCATTAGGGTTTCAAACATCATTGAAGCAATGRGGCATGYGATTCAGCAAGCTATAGTAGCTACAGTTAGTACCCCGCGAAAATGATCGGAAAAACGTGACGAGCTTTTGTTGGACTAGTTAGAAAGTCGTCTTTCCCTTATTTTACAAAGACGTTTCGATTCATAGAGGATATAACAATCACAATAAAAGCGTGTTCTTTAAACACAGTATTTTCTAATACTTTTTACGTAATCGTTAATTTAGCATTGTATGAAACTGTTTTATCTTTACACCAACTTTTCAAGATTTCACAAAAGCGGCGCAAAGTTCCCAAACAYGAGTGCCTTTTAGGATAACTCCTAAAGCGGCATTTCTAGATCTTTTTCAAAGGCTTTGTAGATAGTTTGTTTAAAATATTATTTGTGGATGCAAGAGTATCCTTTTTACTATATTCAATGAACTTGGTAAGAAAAATTTAATACAAAATTTACAGAAAATGCAGTCACTTCTTGCGAGATGAAGACCTAGTTGAWGCACGCGTTGACTGCTGKGAAGGAGAACGTGTCTGATTTGTAGGGGTCTGGGTAGGAGGGCGTTTTAAAGTACTACTGCTGACCGGTCGATCTGAAGGCGTTTGTTGACCGCCAGCACTAGTRGCACTAGCTCGAGATACAGAACGCTCTAAGGCSCGWATTCTTTCTAGGGCTTGTTTTAGTTCTGTTTCGGCTTGGATTGCTCGCTCTTCGGAAGCCTGGGCCCTTTCTTCGGTTTCCCTAAAATCAGTAATGACAGATTTACAAAAAAATCCTTCGTATCCTGACTTCTTTAATACTACAGTAGCGACAACGGATTTTGACAAGAAAGGAATGCCGACGAATCTACGGTTCACGCGCTTTGCATCTCATTTTGAATAAAATCCATCAACACGTTTTTTTCTCTCCAAAATGCAATAAGTTTTTGCGGCTTAAGGCAACACAAAAACTACTTTTTGCGTTGTGTTGTGTTGCGTTGTGCTGCGTTTTGTTGTGCTGTGTTGCGTTGTGTTGCATTATGCTTTGCTGTGTTGCTTGTGTTGTGCCTTGTAGTGTGCGGTGTGGCGTGGTGTGGTGTTGCTGCGTTGTGTGGTTTTGTATTTTTCCCAATGAAGGTACTTACAGTAGTTGAGTCTGGAGTCTTTCGACTGCTGCCAGTGCCTCTAGGGCTTTCTTTGTGTCAGGCGATGGGGATCGTGCTTAAAATATAAATAGATACGATCAACATAATGACAGTATAACGGGTAAAGGAACGCGATATCTATGACTTACCAGGTAAACCATCGCTCTCTGGTACATCTAGTAAAGCAGCCTCCTATCACAAAACAAAAATAAGGTACAATAGTCTCATTCACAGTTCCCTGCGCCATCTTGAAAGGTAGCTGTACCTTTGCATCGAAGCGAGACAACCGTTGAGCGTGCAAAGATAGAAACCTTCTTTCACACCAACAGACAATTATTCACAGGTATCTATCATTACAAGCTCAACAGTCGTCTCACCACTTCAATGCAAAGACACAGTTACCTTTCAAGATAGCGCAGAGAACAGTGAAGGAGACTATTGTGTGTAAACATGAATAAAAGAAGAAAATAGACCGTACTAGTCATGCGAGCTGATGAACAGTTTATAATCAGTGCGATAAAATATAAAATACCTGATCAACTGGTATGTTTTCCAAGGATTTAGTCCTAATATTATCATCATGACACAAGACGTGCATTTTTGATGTATCATCWTCTTGTTTCGTGTCTCCATCTTTTTCCTTCGTCTTCTCCTCTTCTTGCTTTGCTACTGAGGAAGGAMGAGATGCATCCCCCTCKCCMTCTTGAGTTGGCTGTTCRGYTACTTCAGGTRCCTCTGMTGTGGCTTCAGCTGTCYCCTCAGGGGTAGTGACAGTAGGTTTTTCACTGCTTGATTGAGGACGATCCTCTTCTGATGAAGCAACTGGAGTGCTCTCATCTTTTTTCTTAACACGGACAAAAGATGTTAGAAAAACAACAATATTTGAACGTTTGAAGGAACGAAAGACTGCAAACCGCCAGTTTTCTATTTATTTTTTTATTTTTTACCAAAATCGTTCCCATTCCCTTATCCTTTAGTTTGAGCGAAAATGAAATCACAAGAGACTCGAAACGAGCTTGTAGGCATTCGTAACGATAATTCCCATGATTCATAGCACAGTACCAGTACACACGTTCACTCTCTAATCAAGTGTGACTACACAGGCAGCCCAACACTTTACATTTTTAAAATACTCAGGTATCCCGATACACGATAGTACCTCATCGGTCTGTTCGTCACCAGGTGCGGGTGACTTCGTCTCAGATCCTTCCTCTTTCCTAGATTCTCGCCTCTCTTTTGTCTTTTCAACAGCTTTTTCTTCAGGGATGTAGTCTTCACCAGTAACTTCTTGTATCAAGAGTTTGGCGGTWCGAATCCAGCCTTCAAACTCGATATTGATACGTTTGAGGTCYTTGTATTCCATCTCAGCGTGTTCGTCTCCTTCGCTCTTCCTGTCGAAATAATGATGTATTCATCTCAGAGCTAGTTATAAAATACAACTATAATACAATACCACGATAGGTCACCTTGGAGAAGGACCACATGGCCGCTTAATAGAGGTTAACCGTTTAACAGAGGTCGCGTTTTACAGTAACATATGTGAATCAACTTTTGGTGACAGAAGAAYGTGACCGCTTAATGGAGGGTGGYCRCTTTATGGAAGGTTGCTTACATGTAACAGGGGTTCAACTGTAGTCATAAAAATCACTACAAGTATAAGTTTAAGGTGGCTCCCGCCTTATAAAATTGTGCAGAGCCACCTTAACTGTAGCTCTCATTACCAATACTTACTTCTGTTGCATAGAATCAAACACCAAATCATTACAGCACTTGGACAGGACATTCGAGAACATCCTCAACTCATCGAACAGTTGGTTAGCACGAGTGATGATTTCTTCGGTTGTCGATTGTAGTAAAATCGCGCCGCCACCGATCGATGAGTCTACGCTAGACTTGTCRTCTACTTCACTCAGTTTCTCGAGTTCTTTGTCCTCCATGTCGGGTGCTAGRCGRAGAAGGACGGTGATCATCCAACGGATCATGGTACTGTGGATTAACGATACCTAAAGACAAAAGACGTCGATYAGWCGACGAACCGCCAATGGAAATTCACMATGAAAAACAGTTSCTGGMAGTGGTTGCCCTCAGARKATTYTATCAACGCARCTTATTCARMMAA